GGACTGGGTGTGGGGGGGGGGGGGGTCATGCCTAGTGTGGGACACTGAGCCCCCCATGCCCACAGGTCCATGTACTGCACCTTCACAGGGCATCAACCACACAGTGGGAAGCTGAGAGCATGGCCAGCCCCCAGGGCAGGACCCAGCCAAGCACAGGAGTGGGGAGGTTGGTTGGCCATGGTTATAATGAGTGAGACTTGCCCCAGGTTTGAGGTGCTGGCCAGCCATGCAGGACCTTTCACCAGCCCACCCTGTGCCACCACTGGCAAAGGTCCCCTCAGCCTCCGTGTCTGTGCCTGGCTCTCCTTCCTCACCTCTCCATCTTTTCCTGGTGCTAGCTCTGTTTTTCTTGTGTTTTGCAGGGACCCCAACAAGCCTGTCCCCCAGGACACCAAGTTCATCCACACCAAGGCCAACCGGTTTGAGGAGGTGGCCTGGTCCAAATACAATCCCCGCGACCAGCTGTACCTACATATCGGATTGAAGCCACGGGTACGCGACCACTACCGGGCCACCAAGGTGGCTTTCTGGAAGCACCTAGTCCCCCACCTCTACAACCTGCATGATATGTTCCACTACACCTCCACTACTACCAAAGTGCCGCCACCTGACACCACACAGAACTCCCACATCACCCGCCGGCCCAACGGCAAGATCTGGACCACTAAGCGCCCTGCCATCTCGCCCGCCTACAACAGCGAGAACGGGAAGGAGAAGTGGAGCCCAGAGCAGGAGGCAGGCACCCTGCTCGAGAGCCCCCGTGACTACTCCACCGAGCTGAGCGTCACCATCGCTGTGGGCGCCTCCCTCCTCTTCCTCAACGTGCTGGCCTTCGCTGCCCTCTACTACCGCAAAGACAAGCGCCGGCAGGACATGCACCGGCAGCCCAGCCCCCAGCGTGGTGCTGCCAATGACATCGCCCATGCGCCCGACGAGGAGATGCCCTCCTTGCAGGTGAGCCAGGGGCACCATGAGTGTGAGGCTGTGCCGCCCCACGATGCCCTGCGCCTGGCTGCTCTGCCCGACTACACCCTCACCTTGCGCCGCTCTCCGGATGACATCCCGCTTATGACACCCAACACCATCACCATGATCCCCAACTCGCTGGTGGGGCTGCAGACCCTGCACCCCTACAACACCTTCACCGCCGGCTTCAACAGCACGGGGCTCCCGCACTCACACTCCACCACCAGGGTATAGCTGCCCACCGCCCGCGCACACGCATGCACGCACGCACCCGCACGCAGCAGACACTAGGACTGGTGGGGCTGATGGAGACCCCGGACGGAGAGGCAGTGCCCACTGATGATGCGGCACTGAGCCTGGAGACCTGTGGGGTCTCAGCACGGCTGGATGCCCCCCTCTCCCCCTGGCGCTTTCTTTCGTTCCTATCTAACTTTTGAGAAGTGCTTTGACTCTCCTGGCTCCCGGCTGGAGGGCCCCACGGGTCACCCCAGGGCACTGGTGGCGTGCAGGGGGGGACATAGCATAGCCCCTGCGCCCATGCGCTGGCACAGGTGGGCAGGGGGGACCCTGCTGGCGGTGGCCACAGAGCTCCCCACACTGGGGCTGTGCCTCCCCATGGGGAAATCTCGTCCCCAGCACCCTGCCTGCTGAGCACCTGACTGATGAGGAGTGGGGCTGGGCACCCCTCTCGGCCAGTGCCTGGGCACCCCCAGACAGCTTGGCATCCCGAGTGCCCTGGAAAAGGCTCCTTTGCTGTGTCGAGAAGTGGCCCCGGGCCATGGTGCTATAGGCAGAGGGAGCAGGCAGGGTCCAGGGATGCGGCCTCATGACGGGTGCGGGCGCTGGAGCCAAGTGGGGGCTCGGGGACCCTGACGACCCTGGGAGCAGGGCCCTGGGCTGGAGACTTAGCACCTCTGCCCCTCTTTGCGCTGCAGAGAATCTCTTTTGTGTCAGTCGTTTCTCTTTGCAGAGACGTTTTTTAAGCAGATCTTTAGTTCTTTACACACTAACGGAGTTGCCGCGTTTTGTCCTTTGTAAAGATTTTAAAACCAAGTGTTCTT